CAAGTTGGCACATCATTGCGCTCTTCCCGGGCAAGGCAGATCAGTTGCCGGCTTCTGGACGGCTGCTCACTGTGGCTGCTGGCCACTCACGCTGGCTGCTGGCTACACACGGTAGTCCATGGCAACCCACTGCAGCAGGGGTTGCAGCCTATGCAGTCGCCTGCGACTCATGGCAGCCCAGCTCCAAGTTGAGCTGTTGTTCAGCATCTTAGCTGTAGAGGGCAGTGTCACTGGCCCTCATCTGTGGGATCCGAACCGGGGTCCTCTGGCATCCCAAGCCAGCTCTTAACCAATGCGCCACTCGGCCGGCCCTGTGTGGTGGTTTTTGATTGAGCCATAAGTTTATTTAACTGAAAGATTTCAACTGATACTTGTTTGTGTTCTAGTGTGGATGCATCCAATCTTTCTCTGTCTCATTCTTTAAGAAAGAGAGATAGGGACAAACCCAGACAAACAGCAGCACAACATTTCTTTGATGGTTCTTGGAACCTCAAAGCTGGATTTGACCATGGAGATCCTTTGATGCCCTTCACCAATGAGAGTGAAAGGGTGGCATTCACTGAGCATTATGTTGAGAATTGGCAGGAACCCAGGTAAGTTGGTTGTCAGATGCCAAATGTCACACTGTCTCTAAAATGGGAAACTCCCCTTACTTCTAATTAAACATATAAAGGAACACAACTACCTCTAATCACTCAAATATTTGGCTGTTAGGGATTTTCTATCAAGTTACAGCATCAGCAGGATTTCCAAAAAGGCCCTCATACCTCCCTATTCCCACTTTTAGGTATTGCTTCTAAAGGTTCCATAGCCATACCCTTTACCTTCCATATTAAAACAATACTTGACCATTAACCTAAATTCTAATATTTTAAAGCAAATTTCTCCACAATGGAGTACTTGCTGCTTTGTGTCTTTTGCCAAAAGCTAAGAAAGCATCCTTCAAGCTTGACTCCAGGGCACCCATCTTCCTTGGCTTTGCCGCCACAGCTATGCCACTGGCATTTGCTGGAACACTCTGTTACCAGGAGGGAGGTAGAAGCTCCACATGAGCTTCACTGGTTCCCCAAATCCCCCGAGTGACTTTGGCCTGATCTCCAAACTCAAACCTCAGAATAAAAAATTGCAAGACATACTAAAAGGCAAAAAATAGATTTTGAAGAGATAGAGCAAGCATCAGAACCAGACATAGCAGGTAATCTTGGAATTATCAAACCAGGAATTTAAACAATCCTGATTAATATGCTAAGGGCTCTAATGGATAAAGTATAAAACATGCAAGAACAGATGGACAATGTAAGCAGAGAGGTGGAAATCCTAATAAAGAACTGTAAATAAATATTGGAGATTTAAAAAACACTAACAGAAATCAAGGATGCCTTTGATGGGCTTGACATGGCTGAGGAAAGAATTTCTGAGCTATGGGATATATCAGTAGAATCCTTGAAAACTGAAAAGCAAAGAGAACAAAGGCTGAAAAAAAAAAAAGAATATCCAGGGACTGTGGGACAACTACAAATGGTGTAACATACATGTAATGGACGTATCAGAAGAAGGACAAAGAGAGGAAGGAACAGAAAAAAAATACTTGAAACAATAATGACTGAGAATTTCCCTCCAATTAACATCAGACACCAAACCACAAATCTAGGAAATTCAGAGAACACCAAGCAGAATAAATAGCAAAACACTACATCTAGGAATAACATCTTCAAACTACAGAAAATCAGAGATAAATTTTTAAAATCCTGAAAAATGCCAGTGGAAATAAATACCTTACCTACAGGAACAAAGATAAAATTAAATCTGACTTCTCCTCAGAAACCATGCAAACAAGAAAGGAGTGGAGTGAAATATTTAACATGTTGAAAGAAAAAAATTCACCAACCTAGAATTTTGTACCCTGTAAAATTATCCTTCAAGAGTGAAACATAAATACTTTCTCAGACCAACAAAAATCAAGGGAATTTACTGCCAGTAGACCTGCCTTTCAAAAAATCTTAAAAGAAGTTCTTTAGAGAGAAGAAAAATACTATAGGCCAGAAACTTGAATCTACATAAAGAAAGAAAAAAACTATGATGAAATAAGTGAAGGTAAAATAAAAATTTTTACTTTTCTTACCCTTAATTGATCTAACAGATAATAGTTTGTATCAAACAATAATAGCTGGGCCGGCTGAGTGGCTCTGAGCAACAGGGTCTCTGGTTCAATTCCCACGTGGGCCAGCAAACTGCGGCTCACGAGCCACATGCGGCTCTTTGAGTACGTACATGTGGCTCTGAAGTAAAATTGAAAATGAAAAGTAAACTATCATAGTTTCATTTATAAAACTTTTAAAGGACATTGTTCACATAATGGTGATTATGTAAAATATATTTATGGCTCTCGAATAATTTTTAAATTGTTGTGAGGGACAGGATTGGCTCTTCCAGGGGTTGGAAAACTTTGAGACAGAATTTACCCAAAGAGCCGCATGTGGCTCACGAGCCGCAGTTTGCTGATCCCCGCTCCAGAGTCATGTAATAGATCCTCATCTTTGGGCAAAGGGCCCTAATGCATGAGCGGGTTGCCTCAGTTATTGGGAAGGTCTGCCTGTCTCATGGACTAATCTTTGGGTCTGTGAGCAACTTTCTCTAAACATAGCAAGGCCATAGGTAGCTTTGGGGTCACCAGTTTGTCAGTGGCACTGAAATGTGAGTTGGATGCACTTCTCCCTTCCTTTGGGCTTTCACCACAGCTGCTCTCCTAGCTTCCACCCTGTTATGTGCCCTGAAAGAACTTTGGCATTTGCTGAAAGGTCGTCAGCTGCAATTTTAGATCACTGGGTAACTTGAACTAACATTTAAATGTAGCTGCAAGGGGTATGATTGCTGCACCCAGCTGTCAGCCTGGGCTAGATGGTGGCAGAAACAGCAGACCCTTCCTCGGTCCCTTTATGGGAGGGTAGTTAACTGTTTATAAATGACACTAACCATTACTTCTCCCTCTCAATCCCCAAATTATCCAGTCTTTGCTCATTGTTTTACATGCTCAGCATGCTGGATACCAGTACTCCTCCCAGGAGTTGTTTTAAAGCACTGATTTGTTTGTTTCACTTCCAATCTGTTGTGAACAGATTCACTTATAAAACATAATAAAAAGAATTACTGGAAAGGCCAATAAACACATGAAAAGATGCTGAACATCACTAATTATTAGGGAAATGCCAATCAGAGCCACAATGAGATAGCATTTCACACTTATAATGGCTATTATAAAAAAACAAACAGGGGTGGCTGGTTAGCTCAGTTGGTTAGAGTGCAGTGCTCATAACACCAAGGTTGCCAGTTTGATTCCCACATGGGCCACTGAGATGTGCCCTCCATAACTAGATTGAAACAACTACTTGAGTTGAAGCTGATGGGTCCTGGAAAAACACACTGTTCCCCAATAAAATTTAAAAAGTAAGCAAACAAACAAACAAAAACAGAAAATAACAATAGCTGGCAAGGATGTGGAGACATGGACCCCTTGTGCACTGCTGGTGGAGATGTCAAATGGTGCAGCTAATGTGAAAAAAGGTATAGTGGTTCTTCAATAAATTAAATATAAAATTACCATCTGATGTAGCAATTCTACTTATGGGTATGTACTCTAAAAGAATTGAAAGCAGGGACTCAAACAGATATTTGTCCAACCGCATTCATGGCAGCATTATTCATAGTAACCAAAGGTAGAAGCAACCAAAGTATTCATTGAAACATGAATGGATAAACAACATTAATAGAATATTATGCAGCCTTAAAGAGGAAGGAAATTATCACACATGCTACAACATGGATGAACCTTGAAGATATTATGCTATGTGAAATAAGCCAGTCACAAAAGGACAAATATTGCATGATTCCACTGATATAAACTACCTAGGGTAGTCAAATTCATAGAGACAGAAAGGAAAATGGTGATTACCAGGGTCTGGGGATTGAGTTGCAATGGAGAGTTATTGTTTAATGAGCGCAGGGTGTTATTCTGGAAAGATGAAAATGTTCTGGAGATGAATGGTGGTGATAGTTGCACAATAAAGCAAATATACTGTACTTTACTTTTACTTAAAATAACCATACTTAAATATGGTTAAAATGGTAACAAAAATTACTGGAAAAATGAAATTTAAAAATAGTTATAAAATATAGGCCCCAATTGCTTAGTGCTGGATTGTAATTTCATTTAAATTTAAATTACATTTTATTTTTTTAAATTATGTTTTATTGTTAAATTTAAATTATATTTTAATAAATATAATCAGAACAAACATAAGAAATTGCTATAGAAATCTCTAAATACTTTCAATTTTTCTACTTACCTTGTCATGGACCAGTACAGTTTGTAAGCTGTCCATGATCCACTTGTATTTTGTGTAACAGTAAAATGACTTTGAAAAAATGTAGAGTTCTATGAATTTTAACACATAGATTCAAGTTGCCATCATCAAAATCAGGATATAGAACAGTTCCATCAGACAAAATATTCCTGTTTTCTTTCCCCTCCCCATACCTCTAGACCCTGGCAAACATGGAGTTGCTCTCTAGCTCTATAATTTTGTCTTTTTGAGAATACTTACAGCATATAGTCTTTTGAGACTGACTTCTTTCACTTAGCACAGTGCCTTTGAGAATCATCTAGAAGAGATGCTACATGTAACAATAGCTTGTTCCTTTTTTATTGCTGAAGAGTATTCAATTTTATTGATCTACTACAATTTATCCATTCAGCCTTGAAGAGCATTTGGGTGTTCGCAGTTTCTGACAATTATAGAGCTGCTGTAAATACTCATGAGTGGGTTTTTGTGTGAATGTACATATTCATTTCTCTAGAGAAGATGTGACAGTCCACTCTAGGTGGCATTGCTTTGCACCATCATGCGGGAAACAATCAGATGACAATGTTAGATATCAAAGGAAACCTGGAAACCAATCAACCAGGCCACTGTCTTCATCTTGCAGTCATTTACTGGTCCAGCACTCCTAATAGCCGGCCAAGGCTCCTTCTAGAATTATTTCCAAAGAATCACGGTTGATCTCCCATATGAAAGACAAAACTTACTTAGTTTGTTAATGGCAACATGACTCATCAGGCCCAAACAAAGTTCCATTCTACAGTCCCCACAATTCCCAGAATCTCCAGGGAAAGAAAAAAAGAGTTTTCTGGTTAGATGCTGGTGATGTCAAAATTAAAATGTTCTGACATAGCAGTTTCTCTTCTTGAGCTGTATCTGACTGAAACCCTTGCACAAGTCCACACACAAAGATGAGGAATCTTGTTGCAGAATTGTTTGAAGGGCACACGTTCCCACAATAATCTAAATGTCCACGCACTGAAATGCGGTACTTTCTGTGTACTGACATGGATGTATTTCTAAGATGTTTTGCTATGGCAGACACTTAAGATGATTTGATCCAACTTAGGCAGCAAGGGATCACCATATGACTCAAATATGGCCAATTCTACATAAGTGAAAATCTACTGGGGTGAGGGTGGGTTCTGGGGAAAATTTTCTTTCCTAATAAAAGGGAACTGATGTAGTGGGAGCTGCCCTTTCTCTCCTGTGTGGGTGTTCATTCAGTGTGGGCCAGGTGTTTGGAGCTATGGTGGCCCTTTTGTGCCCAGGAGATGACAAGCATGGGGGGTAAAGCCAGTGGGCTAAGGATTGCAGAAAAGAGACAGAGGTCCCTGGTGGGAACTTTGAAGAGCTAAATGAATGGCAGCAGCCACCTCGAAGTGAACTCATGAGAAAATATGAGAAAAATAAATCCGCACACATTTAAATCATTCCAAGTTTTCTATTTCTTGCAGTTAAACACATTCTGTTTGAAATAACTGTCAAAGGAAAAAATCAAAAAGTGGAGCAACGTGCATATTCTACTGTTTTGTGAAATGAAATTATATATACACATCATAGTTATATATACATAAAAATATTGGAAGGGTAATAATAGTTTACAGGCATTAAGCACATATTATGTGCCAGACACATCTTATCACTTGAATCCTCACAACCACTCTATAAGGCAGGTGTTTTATGGCTCTCCTTATTTACAAGTGAGGCTTTATAATAACTAGCAAATAATTATCTAGGGACTCACAGCCAGGTATGTCTCCCCCTAGAGAAAGTTTTTACATCATCCTCTGCAGACCCCCACCAGTTCTAAGGGCAGTTATTTCTAGGGAGTGGGTGGGAATGGGCTGGTGGTGAGGTCTTCCACTTTATATACTTCTGCAGTGTTTCTTCTTCAACAAGCAAGTATTATTTTTTTGTTATAAAAGTGCAAATCTAGATAAACTGATAAAATAACCCTGGTGATAGGCACTGTGCTAGAAATACAATTTGTTTTTTCCAGATTTGGATATCTATTATGGATATACATCCAGTCATACATGCTTTTTGGAAATAGAAAGCATCCTTTTCAAGTTTATATGAAAGAAGCCTGGCTAAGAGTTCCCAGGATTGCTATAAGTTTATTGTGCCACCTATAACCCAGATAAGAGATCTGCCAATCTGTCTTCTATAAACCACAGGAGAATCCAGTTCTTCAGTAGATACATGTGAAGAAGCCTTTTCAGTCCTTGAATAAGATAGTTTTATGGATCATTTTTTTAGTGGCTGGATTTTCTGTCTACCACCAGTTACTAAATGGTTGCTTCTTGGGATCTTTAAAGAGAGCAGCTCATCGAGAGAAAATAGGTCTGTGTCTCTGTTGCTGCCTGGTTCTATTTACAGCTTGCTTATGGGCGCCTTGGCAACCTTCAGAGTTGGCCATGCCAGAGAGATTTCCTTGAGGGCTCGCCCAACTATCTCAATCACGTGGGCTGGGGCACTTTTCACTAAAGGTTCTAGACCAGCTCTGATACCTCGGAGCAACAGCTCTTACAGATAAACAAAGCTTTCTGCAGAGAGAAAAGGACTTTAAAAATTACCCACCACAATGACGGACAGAAGCCCCTTTGAAACCGACATGCTCACCCTGACGCGCTATGTTATGGAAAAGGGGCGTCAAGCCAGAGGGACAGGGGAGCTCACACAGCTGCTGAACTCCATGCTGACTGCCATTAAAGCCATCTCCTCGGCCGTGCGCAAGGCCGGCCTGGCCAACCTGTGAGTCCCGGGGAGCAGGTGCGGGCGCACAGGCCAGCCCTGACCGACGCACAGGAATCAGGCCCAGGTGGGGAGTGGGCAGAGCTGCAGGCTCTAGGGCAGGAAACCGGGTCAAAAGCTATTTATTGTATTTGCCTATGAGCCCTAAAGGGAAGTTGCCTTTAAAGTTTCTGTCAGGGTGCTTTGATAAAGGGGACTTTGACTTGAATAAGAAAGGAACAAAATACTTGGAGACATGCTATGGAAAAAAAAAAATATATATATATATATAATTTTTCCTGTTGCCATGTATTATAATGATAACAAGCTCAGTGGCTTGTCCCATTAAAACATATATTGAATTATCGTGACTTATATCTGCATTCTCACTGGCACAAAGAAACAGCCAGGAGACTTGAAAGGTCTCTTTATCCTCTTTGCAGATATGAGCATTTTATTGTCATAACCTTTGCCAAAATGTTAGGAGCTAGGCATCATTCACAAAATAACTTCCCAGGAACTCAGCCTACATCTCCTTTCTCATCATCGAAAGGAGTCTTGTTTTTAAAACAATTTTTATTTCTTCTTTGTGACCCTTTCCTTATCTTCTTCTCCACTTGGTGGGCAGGGAGCTGAGAGGTGCTCGGCCCGGGAGGAGGGAATGCCCAGTGTTCAATACTTTGTTCATTTTGATGGTTTATCCAAGCACAGAATGAGGCCAAGTTCAGGCTATGGCTGCTGGTCAACCCAGCAAATTATCCAGTTTAAGTCTGTGATAAAAAGAAACAGTCTTTCTTTGGGCTTCCCTTTTCATTGCAGTAATTCCAGTAGAGGTCCTCTCAGAAGTTGAATTATTATTGTTCCTCCAAAATGAAGAAATTACAAAGTCTAATCATTTAAAATATTTATTACTAACAATTTCGTGCTTTTAACACACACAAAAAATATGATAGCATTCTATAACAAGACGTAATGATCACAAAGTAATTATTGAATTATTTATATGTACAGTTTTGTGACCAGCAATGGGATCCGGATTAAGATGTTTTATGATTGACGTTTTCCCTGTGTATTGCTGTAACTGTATTATTACCTCATGTGGCAATAATGGCCAAACTACATTTAAGGACCTTCATGAATGTTAGGTGCTACCATTTGCCTCTGTCCTGCTCCGGCCAGGTGATGGGTCCTGCTGAGTAACACCATGTAGTGACCCAGCCTCTCCCTGTATGTGGGCCCTGCCGTGCTTAGTGCCCTCCCTGCTGTCTGCGGACATTCACCGGCTCCTGCCCTGGGCAGGACAGTGGGCTCGGCAGCAGCAGCTGTGGTCGGGTTGTATCAATCAGCTGCAGAACTGACTCGGTGGCTGTTGAGTGTCCAGGTGAGTTGGATAATTAAGGTGCTCATCTGATTTGGCTATTCCTTCCATGTGATCATGGACAATGATCTCCTGCTAGGACCTCAGTTTTCCATTTGCAAAGTGGAGAGGATACTAATAGCCTCTAACGTGTAGGGTTATTGTAAGGGTTAGTGAGTCTATGGGATGCTGATTTCGACAGTGCCAGCCCTCTGGTAAATGCTCCTTATTACCGTGGCAACGTACCCAGACCTGGGGAAATTTGCCGGCTGGCTGGTCGATGTCGCAGACTGCCCGCTAGATGGCAGGCACAGCCCGTGGAAACAAAACATCAGGATTTCACATTTACTGGGAGGCTGAATTTTCCTTGGTCTGGCAGAGGCCCCACATTCTGCAATTCAGACAACATCCTTCCTCTGGCCCATCTGTAACACACACCCAAAGTGGCAGCGGGAGAAGCCTATTGGCTAGAAATTCCTCCCTTCTAACAAGATGCTGAAATTATTTTAAGAGGACCCTGGGATTGCTCCTCAAAGAGCTAAAAGGTGCACTGTGTCCCAGAGCAAACCTACTCATGAGAATGGGACTTCCACCTATTTCTGCCACTTCCCATACTTTTCTAGGCACAGATTCAATTAATGCAACTTAAAAGTGATGAAAAATTCTCATGTTTTCCTTCATTTTTTCTCTGCTCCTTGCTGTAGGAAGAAGGGAATGCGAGAATGTCTCTTGTGAAAGCCTCTCCATGGCTTTTACTGCCCAAATGGTAGAACATCCTACTTAAAAATGGTCAGGAAAGTTTCATTGGTAGTTAAAATGCTAGAAGGTATTGCCTTGTGGGTTATAAAGCACCCCTTCACCCACACTTTAACTTGGAGCAATTGTCAGGCAGTTAGGCCTCATTGTTTTTTGTTTGTTTGTTTGTTTTTCATTTTCTTTTATATATATATATATATATATATATATATATATATATATATATATATATATA